GTAGCAGCAGGCAAAACCCAGAAAACAAAGCAAAATCAGGAAAAATTTTGCTCCAACGTTTAGAGTATTACACTAACTTTTGGATTTCAGCACACTGAAACATTAAATTCTGTAGCTACACAAAAGAAATAGCGGAAAAAACACAGAACGAAGAAAACCGGCCGACATTTTATAACAAAAGACTAGCCAGATTGCCTGAAGAAATACATTGACTTGAGTAGAAGCAGCAAAAACCCAGAAAACATCGCTGATTCGAAATAAACTTCACACCAACATATAGAACATTACACTAACTGCGGCATTTTAGCACACTGAGACATTAAATTACACAGCTACACAAAAGAAATAGCTGAAAGAAGCACAGGACGAAGAAAGCCGACCGTCATTGCTTACGAAGATGGCGGATGTAATAATTATCGCCTCATTCTGATTGGTTGCAGCCAAGTAGACCATAATTCTACAGTTCAACCCGTACGAGACGGTTCCGTAACTACTGGCTACAGTCGTTGGACGTTCAAGGCTGAAGGGACGTGTTAACAGTGTCATGAGATTGTACAGGGACGGAAAACCCGAAACTTAGATTACTTAATGACAAATGGTCAGCTTCCAGGTAACGATGCCCACGTCCACATAAAGATAAAAAGTGACAACTACAACACAGTCATGTTTTGCGGGGTCATAAGGGTAAAGCTTGCAAGGATAGGCTTCATTGACTCATCTTTATCCCGGCTCTGGGTTTAACTAAAGAACAGGATGCTTCATACTACGGTAAATAAAGTGCACGTGAGCTGGCAGGTCTTTGCGTCAGGAGTTTCACCAGGACACTGTCTTAGGTTCATCTCTATTCTCAATCTTCATTAAGGATTTGTAAGATGACATCAGCCCAGTAGCACTAATCTTCGCAGACGACCCACAGATATGGGGGACCGCAAAAAGTACGATGGATTCATTCGAACCTCAGAAGGACCTTAAAACAATGCAGGAATGGGCAGCAGACAGTGGGTTAAAATTTAACTTGTCGAGATGTTATTTCTTGAACATTTTGCTTCCTTTGACACAATTTGCTTACACTCTCCATAGAAATCCTCTCCCCATCGTCTCCTACGATTTCAAGTCTTACACTAAATGTGACAAAAATACCTTTCGAGTAAACCCTGCACTGGTAACATTGAAGTTAATTTTTAGTCAGTCTGGCGGAAGAACATTACACCTGGTTTTCAACAGTTTTATTCGTCACCACTTAGAGTACGGAAACATAGTATCTCTTTCCTCACTCTAAAAGGATAAAGACATTCTGGAACGTATCCAGCGGTGAGCCGCGAAACTAGTTCGAAGACTCGAATTTAAGCCTTATGGAGAAAGCGCACAATCACTGAACCCTTACTCTTTAGCGTACGGGCACCTCAGAGGTGACCTATTAATGGCTTACAGCATCTTAAGTACTTCTAAACAACTACGTAAGCGTAGTGCAAACACAAAACTAAAGTGTATCACCTAAAGACTAGGAAAACAACAGCAGAAAGGACTATAGAACCACCTTCTACTCCTTAAGAGTGGTCAAATGATGCCGGCTGAGCTAGTCCAAGCAGCTCCCAAGAGTCTTTTGAGAGAAAACGTGACATATTCCTAAGGAATAAGGATCGTATCGCACTATCATTTACTAATTTCTTTTTCCTCTATTATCGTTAATACACCTAGGTTCCTGCCTGGAGGTATTGGTGATCCACTGCTACTAGTCACGGAAGCTCGTTAAGCGAAAGCTTCTTCTATTCCGTCCAAAACCATCTGGACCATTTGAACCACTTAAATGTCTAGAATTAGTGTAGTCGAGTAGCCATAATACCACCCACAGAACATAGTCATATACTTCGAACTATTCCTAAATAATAAGAAGCGAACACGAAGAAATCAATTGGTTAATACAAGCCCACGAGAAAATTAATTAGTTTACGAAGATCTGATGGCGGACTGTTCAGTTCGTCAAGGTTGTTTTGTCTGCGGGTGTGAGTGTCCACCTAATAACTCGGACCAAATGAGGGATATAGACCAGCGTGAGGAATTAGAATCATAATATAAAGTTGATGGTTAGTGTTATGAGTCAGGTTTAAGGTTTTCATCACGAACTAGCACCAGCTATAATGCCCAAACTCTAGCCAAATGGATGAGTGAATTTCGCGCCAAAATCCGAGACCTGTTATCTTATACCTGATTAGTTCTTCCTCAAGTTATAGTCTCGCCACTCAATCTGTTTGCTGGGAATGACTCACATTACTAGCCTACCAAACGATCACTAGTACTTTCGTTAAATTATGTGCATCTGGCGATTTCTTTATCTTACCGTTTTATGACAGCCATTTAAATAGTAAAAACATGACAAGTTTTAAACCTAGTCCTGGCACTCCTCGTTGTGATTGTCCAACTGTCTTAGTCACACATTACCACTGATTGTTAGTGATTGCTTCTATCGTATAATCTATATATCATATCTAAGTACATTTTGTTTATCCGTAAAGTCACTAGCTCGCCTTTTTCTCCTCTCTTTTTTAGCTCCCCCTACACATATTTCTCTATATTCTTCTCTAATGTCTACAGTGCCTTCATGCTAGACGTGAACCACTACTGAAGTAGTGCACGCATCTGGTCTTACTCTTTCCCAATATCATTGTGAATTTCATGATGTAAGTGTCAAAGTATATGTTTGTAAGTGTTGATGCTGTCATGAAGTCGTTCACTATTCTCATTCAAACTTTTTTTATCGACCTTCAACTTAAGCCTTCCTATTCTCATTTTACTAAGTAGTATATGAATTACAAACTGACCTACCTAGTCATGTGGTATGTTTAAATGATAAGGGCAGGGGGTTAAAAACCGTGCGTTAGTCTCGAGGGTGTATTAATTTGGTTCATATTATCATTTCAGTGGTTTAAATAGGGACTTATCATATTCTTGGGGCCAGGTGTTCTTGTTGGCTGCTCGATAGTCAGCTGGAATATAAGTTTCTGGCAATGTGAACTCATCTACGTACACTCTGGCACATTTGATTACCTGAAGGGCAAGAAAACAAGGAAATGCCATATTTAAAATCACTGTTAAATATTCTGAAAGGGACAGTCGAATATTCACCATCATCTATATGTATTTTAGCAATCTTAGCATTATACAACTGCTTACAAATCAATTTTGTAATATTTTAAGTAGCTCACATCTTTCTTTGGACAAGTGTTAGTTGCTTGTATCAAATCCTCCTGTTGTAAGTGATGAAACACTATATAGTACTGTAAACGCTTGACCACCTAGTTGGTGGAACACCCTCAACGTCTCCCATTCTAGCGCTTCACACCCAATGTCAGACAGTTTACTTCATGTCGATTAGTCTAAATAACAGGTAGTTTTATGATGTGAAACATATTTATTCATGCTTTGATAGCCGACATTTATCACTACGCACCTCATAGCATTTCCACGTTTGCTAAGTGTTGGCCGATCCAATGAATGCATTTAGGTCTTCTTCAGTCTATTTGTACCATATTAACTTCGTCACTCCTATACCTTACTGTCACGTGTATACATCAAAACTGTTTCAGTTTCAGTTTGGGAAGGACAGGAGGCTTGATGGCCTGTGTTAGTCCTGGCAATGGTGGTCTCTCAGTTGATCCAACTTTCTTTTGAAAGAGTCGACGAATGGAGCCTCAACCACGTGCTGAGGTAATGAATTCCACTCGTTGATGATTCGATGGGAAAGTTGATAGTCAGCTGACAAGTAATTTGTTCTGGGCTTGTGAACTTTTTTGAGTGTCCTCGTAAATTCTCTGTTTTGGAAGACAAGAAAAATGAGGGCATATCAGGTGCGAAATCGGCACTAAGCAATTTGAAAACTGTAATCAAGTCGCCTCTAGTTCTGCGATATGACAACGGGAAAAGGTTCAGTTTGGCCAGTCGAGCTTCATACGGAAGCTTCGCTATTCCGGGAATCAGCTTAGTTGCCGTTCTCTGAACCTTTTCCAGAAGCTCACTGTCTTTTTTTAAGCAGGGGCTAACCGCTTGTATGCAGTACTCAAGTTTAGGACGTACGAACACTATACAAAGTCAAAAGCGTCTTAGGGTCGACATGACTAAAAGCCTGGTGGCAAGAAAACTAAAGAATTCGTGTATCTACAACCAACGTATTTATCTGAAAACTAATCAGGTACTTCACTTAGCACTAGTTTCCTCTTAAGTAGTTTGAAGCTTACCAGTGATTTCTCTATCCCTTCCAGCTATCTATTTTTTTATCCTTAGGAGTAGACTGGATTGTTATTTAGCTTAAATTGCATCCCGCTTTATAAAATTTTACCAACGATTTTCTTGAAGCTAATGAATGCCACACTAATGTGTAGCTATGACCTTTCGGAACACATTTTCCGTACCACAAAAGTTACCAAGGCAGTAATACCGTCTCATAAACCGGCGATACATTTCGATAGGTGTGAAGGTAGTTTCTTGTTAATAATCTTAAGAATGTTGATGGCTACTCTAGCTAAACTTGTAGTAATAATTTCCAGGATAATATCAAGTACCAATATAGATGCTTTAATATTCTCGGGTTAGTTAGCTGAGCTTGGGGGCTTCATATATCAGGAGATAGTTGTATGGCTATAAATATGTATTTTCTTAATAGTAGTTCGTTGCAAATAGGAACAACTAACTTCAAATCCAATATGCTTAGTAGCCAACCCTAGATATTCACTAAAATTTAACACTGACATTTTTCATCCACTTAGAAGATCTGGCATATGGGAGTTATAAACACTTCTTGACTCTCCGACTTAACTCTGTCGTGTCGGAGTAATCGAAGTGTCCATAGGTTAGTCCGAGACAACATCATTTTTTTTCCTTTTTTGTATTCAGAAATTACTTTTGAGGCTTATTCTGGTCATTTTTTAACCCTCAACAATTCTAGTTTCTCATTGATTAACATACTTTGGAAATATTTCGACTTCTGATCACACATTTAAATCTTAATGTCGGAAGAAGTTGCAGAAGACAAACGATTGATTTCCGAAGCAGCTTCGTGCTACAGACGTAAAGATTTTGAACAATGCCTTTCTATCATGGAGAAACTGAAAAGCCGAAAGCTGAATGATACAAAAGTAAGTTCAACTCCTTTCTCAACATAAAACAAATAATAATAATGAAGTTGAAACTTTCACAGTGTTATTCCTCGTTAAATATCATAATATTAAAAAGATAGAGTAATAATAATACAAAGAAGCGACCGTAATCAAAATGACTCAATGAAGGACAAAAAAGAAGACACACTCCAACCAGAATAATAAGCAAATTACAACAGTATACTAAAAAGTAATATACCTGCTTGTTTTCAATGAAAATACTGTCATATAACCTAAAAGCATTATGATAAAGTGTCATATATCATTATATATTTTTTAATTTTATAGCCGGGTTACGCAATAGTGGTTCGATTTATCTTCTGCGTTGGGGTAATACAGTGTTAAACGGCGAACAACTTCATACTGGTTGACTTAGTTCATTAATAAAAGTTATTTATTTATTTATTTGGACACATGAATATTGGTACAAAAGAGCGCCAATATATATGCGCCACACAAAACAATGAAAATTCGAGAGGAATACAAAGAAAGAAAAAAAAAGCTAAGGAGCGCAACAAAAAAAGAGAGAACAATAACGAAGAGATTGGTGTAAGGTAATGTGCTAGTAATCAGGGAACGCAAAGGTACAATCGGAAGAAATCTTTCAGGTAAGGGAGACACAACCACTTTTTATGAAGAAAGTAAAAGAAGGTTACAGCAGGATCGCCACTGGCTTCTATTCTGAGCCATATCTGATAACGTCTCTAGCCACTGTGTAGCACCATCTCTCAGACCCCAACCAGGGAGTCGTGAAGGACCAACACAAGCCAGTCCTTTGCAGCTTTCTTTCATGCCACGACACCATGTCATGCACTGACCACCTCTCCGCTTCTTCCAACCAGTCCCAGAGTCGGCAAATAATGCACGACGTGGAATTCTCTGGGACGACATTCGGAGAACATGTCCAAGCCACCGAAGTCGGTGTTTCAAGATGGTGACACCAATTGAATTATCATCTCTGTGCCCGAACACACGATGCCGAACCTCTGCATTACTGACATGGTGTTGCCACTGAATGTCAGCAATCCTTCGGAGACAGCGATGATCGAACACAGAGAGTCGTCTAACGTCCTCAACTCGGAGAGGCCAGGTTTCACAAGCATAGAGCAAAACTGCTCTCACCGACGCGTTGTAGATCCGACCTTTTACAGCCAGACTAACATCACGAAGGCGCCAAAGGTGGCCCAGATTGGCATAAGCCGCTCTGGCTTTCACTATACGTGCATTGATCTCATCACTCACACCCCCACCAGCACTTATGCAGCTACCCAGATACACGAACTTCTCGACTACGTCTATCTGCTCACCATCCAGGGTGAGTACAGGATTGGAATCCTGCCAGTCTTGTAGAAGTACTTTGCACTTCGAAGGTGCAAAGCACATACCATACCTACGGACACTGATTGCCAACTGATTAAGTGCGGATTGCATGCCTTGGGCATTATCGCACAGTAAGACAATATCGTCCGCATACTCAAGGTCGAGAAGTCTTTCTCCAGGCAACAGATCCACACCACCATTACTTACATTCATCAGAGCTGTTTCCAGAATGTCATCGATGGCAAAGTTGAAGAGGAATGGTGAGATTGGGCAACCCTGCCTAACCCCACTGCTCGAATGGAACAATGGAGAGAGGTGGTTGTATGCCCTCACTCTGCCTGAGGTGTTTTTATATAGGGCTTTTAGGATGTTAATAAACTTCTCAGGCACACCCTTCTTCAATAGACAATCCCAGAGAACAGTCCTGTCCAACGAATCGAAGGCAGCCCTGATGTCAAGAAACACTACGATTGTTGGCCTTTGATAAGTATGGCGGTGTTCTAACATTTGGCGGAGGGTGAAGATATGATCAATACATCCTCGACCAGAACGAAACCCAGCCTGCTCCTCGCGAGTCAATCTTTCTCGGGTTTTGAACAACCTACGAAGTATGACGGAAGCCAATAGCTTGGACGCAATCGGAAGTAGACTTATCCCCCGATAGTTGTTACAGGAACGACGTGAACCCTTTTTAAAGATAGGGACAACTATCGACTCATTCCATGACGTTGGTACACTCTCTAGTTCCCAAACCTTTGTAAACAACGTCGTCAATTCCTTAGTCAAAAAGTCACCACCATCTTTAAAAAGAGCCGGAGGTAAGTCATCTGGGCCAGGTGATTTGTAACGCTTCAAGAGTTGGAGTTCCTTGCGGACTTCCTCCTCGTTTGGTGGATCAGTCGTCACCGGCCATGGAGGGCAGGACAGTCTGACCGATGTTGCCGGAGCAGCAGGCCAGTTGAACTGCCCTTCGAAAAATTCTGCCCATCGTCCAAGACGTCGATGGATGTTAGTGATTGGCATCCCATCATCCTCGCAGATTGTTTCACTCACACCAGACTTCTTGCTGCCAGTGGCTCGGATGAGCTGGAAGAGCTTCCGGTAATTACCAGATGCAGCTGCTGCTTCCAGCTCATTAGCACGCTTCGACCACCAGGCTTCTCGGTCCTTACGCAAGCTTTGCCCAATTTCCTTACATAACATCCTTCGTTTATGGTCAAACTAGTATCTAAAGACGTGGCTATAAAACAATCCAGAATGGTTAAAGTAAACAAAATCTCCGGTAATTATAAACGAAAAAATAGAAGAGACCAAGAACAAAAAAGATTTAATGGGCTGAATAAAATTGAAAGAAAGATGTTTCTGGTTTTATATCAAATGTGTCCAATATTGTTGTTAGCGTGATAATCCCAATCCCACTGTTATTTGAAATGATATGTGGGATACTAGTCATGTGGACCAACCATAAGAGGACGTTTTAAAGTGTTTCCTTGTAGGACGGCAAGGAAATGCTGAATTTCCATTCTGTGATTGGAATTTTATCTAAGTTCCTGTTTCTTTGATTTGCATTTATCCTAACTTAAGTTATTTCTGTCAAATATCGTGTATTATCAAACCGTTTGGGATATGCAAATAAGACCTATGTGATAAATAGTATGTATTTTAATAATGATTAAAATAGCAGAGTAGGCTACCTCCACGTTTAATCATACAAGATGTTTGGTGTTTCATAAATAGGCTCTTAAGAATTTCGTTTTTTAGTTTCGTGCTGTACACCCGTTTTATCTATCATATCGTCTGGCGATTAGATGTTTAGTTTAGTCAGTTTACAATCATGTTAATTAGTTCCATATCTTACACATCTTACTTGGACATAATCATACATTATTGTTTTCTTCACAGGTAAAGATAAATAAGGCACTATTATCGTATGTATATAATTCACGTTATTCGCAGAGTGAACAATATATTTCTGATCTGAAAAGAATTGCAACTGTTGAAGGAATGAATCTTGATGACTATATTAATAAAACAGTCTTAAGTAGACATAATTCAGGTCGTTCAGATGAACCTCATACTTCTAAAGATCTGTTGTCGAATACTGCACCTCACTTTATATCGAGATCTTCTGTTATGATAAACTTACTGTACAACTACGCTGTTGTATTATTTTATCAACATCAGTATGCTCAGGCTGAAAAACTTCTTGCTAACTGCCTTGGTATCCCATCAAACTTGGAATCCGCATGTGGTAAGACATTGCACCTAAATGAGACTCAATTAAACCTTCAGTCACCGACATGCATTGATCAATCTTCTACTTTGATACAAACAATAGACCTTACACCATCAAACGATACTGACCTATGTCGACGTATCGTGCTTCTTTGGCTGGAAGTTTCTTTAAGGTTGTTTCGGATGGAGCGTGTTTTTGAACTTTGTGGTAAGTGGTAGGATTTATATTTATATAAATTTGTATATTTTTTTACGATTATGACGTTTTTTATTTAGCAATCCTGTGTGACATGAAGATGACCTGTTGGCTTTCTCTAGTTCTACACCTTAATTCTATGGCTTGTTTTATGACCTTATGCAGCACTGTTGTTTGGTGCCAATACACTTATTTCTCCTTTAATTTTCAGTTTTGTGTTCATATATATTTCTAACTCCATTCATTCGAGTCTGTCTTGTTTTCTCAAAAGTATTTGATGGACTTAGTGCAATTATATCACTGTACTTAACTTTTTGCTTTGATATATAGAGAAATCAATAATACTAAGCGTGAATTTACTTATCAGTTTGTTACTGATTCAAATTCTGTTTGATAGACTATTATTTGAACAGATAAGTGTTATTTAAAGCATACAGTTAGTCACTGAGTTACACCAATCGGCTTTCTGTGTACTGGGATCTATACACAATACTGTTTTTATCTCTTATCATTTCGTTTTCCCTATTTCAGTTGGCATTGCCATTTTTACGTGTTTGCTTTTTCTCCAGTTTTCCTCATGTCAATGTGTTTCTCCAGTATAGCGCTAAAACTAGCGTAACGTAATCATTTTTTCCTGTTATCATATCGATAAGCATTCGTTTTATACTGAATATTAGGTTTACCCAGTAATAGAATAGTTTAAACCAGAATGTCTATATAAAGCTTGATTTATTCACTTAAGTGGCAATCAGTAGTTTGGGAGTACATGTATTGTCTCATGCTTTAGCTAAGACTGGAGAAGTTACACATTGATAACAAATTTAATGGTGAAGTTTAATATATTTATTGTCCAATGTAGGCTTCACAGTTCTCTTAGTTTCTTCTAATGAGTGAACAACAATTTCCATTCATATACATGGTGTAATCAGGATTGCTATCGGCACTCTTAAAAAGATTAAGAATTTCGTTCTGTGTCAAGTTGATGCTCTTTTTGTTGCTTGAACGTATTGTATATGACTAGATATAGTAATCATATATTGTGATATATCGGTTTTCAAATTTCGTCTTTATAGACTACTGGATTTTATGTCTTAATACGGCGTCAGTGGTGTCAGAAACAGCAAGTCTGTCATCGAATCCTCAGCCACTAACTTCTCCATCTGAAAATACCAGCTGTCATTCATATAATCTCAGTAGTAATGCATTGTCTATGTTGATTGGAATTCAAAAACCAATACAACTTTACTACATTCGAGCATGTTTGCTAACAGGACGTTTAAATGAAGCTGAATCCGAATTAAACATATTCATATCAGAAAGTTATTCGATATCAAGTAACAACTCTCTTCAAAAGAATACTGATTTTGAAGAAAATTCCACCGAAGTCAAAATTACGCCTGACGATGTGGGTGAAAATTGTCTGGAAGAGAAAAAAACAGGAAATCCCACACATTCGGATTCTCAAAGTGACACTAATCATTGTTCTAATATTGTGTGGTCTACTGGAAATTCTGTGTATTTCCTTCAAGCTCAGCTAGCTTTTTTGAAGGTTTGTTACATTTTATATTCACTTTTTTCTGTACTAATACTACTGTTTAATAATTCAAATGCATATAATACAATCATGTTATCTTTTTGTAGCACTTTTACTATTAAACTGAATGACATGGCTCAAAATCGTTTGCAATGGTGCAGGTGCATCCACTCTTTGTGTTCTCTAAAATTCTAATCTTCTGAATTATTCATGTCCCTTTTTTCTCTTTCCAAATTTATTTCAGTGGATTATACTCCTTGAATAGCATCTTCAAACCCTTAATGTTTCCGATTACTGCTTATACTTTTACTACCTCTACCACTGTGGGATTTGAATTGACAATTGTATCTCTGTGCTAATGTGTTATGGCAACTCGAACTGAAGTACGTACGTACAAAGTTCTACGCTGTTGACTTTGCTGTTAAATAGAGCCACCTATAAATATTAGGTAATGAATCACCGAATTTCAAGGAACCCACGATAATATGTATTGGCTCACCAGCTCTGAAACCTTTCAACATCGTTTCGAATTAGAATATTCATGTTTGTCCCTATGTTACCGTCAAACTACTGGATAAGAGATATTTATAAAATTAATCTGCCATTGTAAAACACGACAATAGGCAGGAAGAATATGTTTATTACAAGTTACGAAGTATTCATATAATACATTATACATCACCTTCAATCTTCCATTTGCATCTTTAAGTATTTTCTGCCAACACCGTGCTTTCAATGCAGTGGAACTCTTCACTCTGACAGTTGTAGCAATATATATATATATATATATATATATATATATATATATATATATATATATATATTATATATATATATATATATATATAATTTTTAAATCCTTACTAATACTCGACAATATTAGCTCTGAGTAATATTAATCTTTCTTTTTGCCGGAATATTAGTTCACCTAAATGATATGTTAAATAGTAGTTGATTTAATTATCTGTTCTATGACATATCATTGGGTATATAAATATAGTTAGTACTAATTGTGAAATAATTTCACTTGTTACAGTTAAATTGCTTGAGTTTATTTGGCTTTGTTTTTAATAAAATCACTATTTGTTACATTGCTCAACAGTTTCTGTTTGCCTATTTTATGATGACTGATAAATTTGATAGTCTGTATTATTAGTCTTTCTAATCATTTTCTCCTACATATAAATAACTGCAGTTATCATTATTATTAATATCCTGTCCACTGATGATACGCATCGTTTTCACAATATGCACGACTGATTTCTTTTAATTTGTTTTTACAAGTCTAAAAAGATTTATTTTTCACAGCTAACTCAGGAAAGTGTACACAAATATCTTTTTGAAATTGGCTTCATTGATATTTACCATTTTTTTAATTGCAGTGACAAGCTTGATAAAATTTCTCCTAAATTTCAACCTATTCATCGTCGTTTGGCATATTTATCTATAGGTCTATAGGTCTGTCAAACAGAAAAAACAGTCGTTTTTATTGCTTTATGTAATAAGTATATCTAAAACTTAGTATATTAACTCATTTATACCTGATGTTTAACACCTATAATTTTGTTGGACATTAGAAATCTTCATAAAATGTTATTTGATAGTAAATTGACTCCCTTCAGTCGTTTCATGAATGTTTAGTGTTAGGGATATCAGTAGTAAGAGATGTAACTATCCCAATCAAACGATGAATATTGTATTCAGCAATTCGTTCTATCTTACTTTGCCCTCACACAGCATAGGCCCAGCTTACAGCAATGGTCTGGTATAGGTCCAACGCTCGAGCGCCATCCATTTTTAGGGCTGGTTGATTCGGCAGATGAGTTGTTACACACTCCTTAGCGGCTTCCGACTTCCATGGTCACCGTCCTGCTGTCTAGACCAACCAACACCTTTTGTGGTATCTCATGAGCGTCGTGTTAGGCACCTTAACCGAACGTTTGGTTCATCCCACAGCGCCAGTTCTGCTTACCAAAAATGGCCCACTTGGCACTCACATTCAATGCAAAACCCCAATTAAGCGAGTTAAGCTTCTCACCCATTTAAAGCTTGAGAATAGGTTGAGGATGATTTCTCCCCAATGCCTCTAATCATTCGCTTTACCGGATAAAACTGTTTATTTCTCAGAATGCCAGTTATCCTGAGGAAACTTCGAAGGGGACCAGCTACTAGATAGTTCGATTAGTCTTTCGCCCCTATACTCACGTTATACGATCAATTTGCACGTCAGAATCGCTACGGTCCTCAACCAGAGTTTCCTCTGGCTTCAACCCTCACAAGCATAGCACCCGGACAGTATCACAGCCCTCACACAAATCGAATGATTTATGCGGCCCATATCTATTTGGTGCCTCTTTGTAACAACATTTATGTGTTTAAATAAAATAAAATAATAATCTATCTACTTTATGGTTGTGAAATATAACCTTTAGGCAAAAAAGATATTTCTAGGTTTCCAGTGTTTAATGATAAATTCCTTCAGAGGATTGCTCATTTATGTTGAGACCGTTGAATGAGTAATGTTGAGGTTAGAACCAAGCTAACAAGTAAAAGTCCAAATCACTTGATGAGACTATGAATCGTCATCAAATGAGATAGATGGTTAAAACATCAGTCAGTCAGTAACAACGTAGAACTTTGTACGTACGTACTTCAGTTCGAGTTGCCATAACACATTAGCACAGAGATACAATTGTCAATTCAAATCCCACAGTGGTAGAGGTAGTAAAAGTATAAGCAGTAATCGGAAACATTAAGGGTTTGAAGATGCTATTCAAGGAGTATAATCCACTGAAATAAATTTGGAAAGAGAAAAAAGGGACATGAATAATTCAGAAGATTAGAATTTTAGAGAACACAAAGAGTGGATGCACCTGCACCATTGCAAACGATTTCGAGCCATGTCATTCAAGGTCTCTAACCATCGGTTGCTATCGTCTCGCGGATCCCAACCAGTTAGTCTACACCTACTATCATGGTTCAGTCCACTTGTCAGTGACTTCATGGATTTGTGCCATCTTTTGGTCTGACCGTCTCTAGCTTTCTTCCAATCTACTCCTACAACACAAAACATACGTCCAACTACCCTTCACCATGATGCTCAATGTTAACTAGTTTAACAATAGACTGAAAGAAAGTTAGGGGCGCCCAAACCAAAACGTGGTATCAGTCTATCCAATCATTTATTGTTGGTCTGAGCTACTATGCAGGTAGATCCATGTTGCTTATACGAGTTCTGTAAGATTGTTATAGCCAGTGTTTGGAAATGTTAAGTGACATGGTTTAAAATCATTTGCGATGACGTAGAGTCATTCATTCTTTGTCTTTCCTTAGATCTTAAGTTCCAAAATTACCTCACTTTTTATTCCACGAATCTTTTCTCACCTCTTGAATAACATTGTGCATGCCTATTCTTTTCTGTTGCCATTGATGATGTTACTACTTCTGCTACTTTAGCATTTGTCTTGATAATTTAATTCCGCTGTGTTATGTTACGGCGACTTGGACAGATACACATATATTCCCGGTACTACATTACTTACGACTAATTAACTAGTAGTTCCCAATGTATTTAATTCAACAGATACTAATATCCCTTATAATACACCTATGCATAGATAACTGTGAATGTATCATTAGCTCTCATATAAAACCATGCCTCAAGTATATAAATGTATACACTTGTTATCAAACTCACATTATACCGGAAATACGTGTAAACGTATTAAATAAACGAAGTGTTTCCAATTGAAAATTGTGTAAATTCGTTGTTTATACACTGAACTCTTCATCACTGAATGACTTTAACTTAGGGCTTCATCTAGTATCGTTAACCTTTATGTATACGTGATTAAAAGCTAGTGTTCTGAAATTTTCCCGTAGTTATCAAGTTACATACACAGATAAACTTTGGGTCGTATGTTTCGGAATCGTCTTCCGTGGTACAGTTTCTTTTATTCATCTAAATCTCTAACTAATTATCGTCCCGTACTCTTCGTTCTAGAATATTCGTTTCTCCATGGTAATTCATATCACTATTTTCATCCTTTCGTATTTTGCTGTGTTAATCTCTTCGTTTAGTTCTTTTGTTGCGAGATGTGGTAAATTGAACCAACACACTGCTGAGTAATATTTTGTAACTAGCGCAGGTATACATTGGTTCAAGATGTCAATTAATTTCAATTAATACACATCTGGAACATCAAGAAAATAATTGAATGCAATATACAAATTACACTAGTAGTGATAACCAACTAAAAGAAGCTGAACGAAATTTTAAAAAAAAATCCATGGCATTTCAGTGTCAAGATTTTAAAAGATTCTTCAATGAAACCAATTTCTACTATGCGACCTAAAGTCTTCAAACACCGATTTCACTTTTCAAACTGAGCATGTCCTCTTTATGTTGCTCAAATCTGTAGTTATAAACTTCAAATGTAATACCATGTTTTATTTAATTTTCTCTCTAATAGATCAAGAGATGTATATATTTACGCTTATATTTACTGCGATCTTTTTTCCATTTATTACCGTTTATTATTAAGTTCTTACCGTGTGCTAGTAAATAAATAAACTGTTCATCACTTGTGATGACTGTTTTTACTCATATTTATCCGTTTCACAGGGTCAGTATAGTGATGCCGTCAAATTGCTTATTTCCATGCCATCACCTTCTTATAATTCAACTGCTATGCATGATTGGGAGTCTGTTATTTTAAAGAATAATCTTTCCTTGATTCATCATCGCACTGGTCGATGTACCTCTGGTTTGGTACAACTTCGTCATGCTTTAAAACAAATCGACAAAACAATCAAAACTGCTGTACATTCAGAAGAAAAAGATGTGTCTTATTTACTCAATCATCAAAATGGTTGCTCCTCTTTTATTGAATATTCTGAATTGTTTAACCAGGTAAGAGCATTTATCACTTCGTTTGTTAGTGAAAAAAAAACAAGTCAATCACTGGAGCATAGTGAATTAGTAACCAGGTGAAAATCACCATTCTTTAATCAATTAATTGATCGTAATCAAAAAGTTAATCTCAACCTTTTAACCACTTATATAAATGTTTGATCTGTTCCTGTTTTTGTGACCCCTCCATTTAACACACTTTCAAATCATAACTGCAGTAAAAACTTTGTGATTCTACTCTGTAGCCAAGTACAGCTTCCTTTACCCAGCTTTAAACCACTCTGATTGTTCGGTGGGTAGTGATGATACTAACCAGGTTAGAAGTTTGGACCTGTAACTCAATTGGGTTGAAAGTCTATTGAGTAAACCACTGAGTCAGTCTTTTATTGCATCCTGGAAACAATGATGCAAAGTAACTTGTATTATGACCATATTTTTATATAGTCTATGATTCTTTGTCACTATCAAATGGATCCCACTGGTTTGCAATTATTTTTGAAATACGACATACTGGGAAATATGTATTTTATATATTTTTTGAATTATTTTGGAAGTCACTTGAAACATAAACTTATTCAATTTCTCACTATTAACCATAAACTATAGCGACTTTTGGATCTTAAGGGTTTTGAGTAACTATTGATAAATTGGAGGAACGGAACTTTTCTTTATTTTTAAAAAAATAACAGATTGGTGATTCTAAACACTAATGTGTTTATTTCGATTCGTGAAGTCACTGCACTACTTTTTTATTTTAAATTCGGTATCCTTGTGGTTAAGCTAAGCGATGGATTATATTTACACTTTTTCAACTTCACCTGCATGTTTGCGAAGACTAACTACATCTAGTGAAGTAGAAGCCATGTTGGTTTTAAGATTAGTGAAAAAATGTCAGCAGAAATGCAATTTATAAAAGCTATCTTGTGTTTATGCTATGTTTGAAGAGATTACGAGATCACCTAAAGTCGGTGAATGGAACGAAGGATCAGCAACACAACTACAAGAAAAGCTAGACTATTTCAATGCACCCCAGCCCTACTAACTAGGGGGAGAAGAACAGGTTCAGATGAGAGAAAGGTACATTCAACAAGCAGCCAGAAGCGCGAACGAGCAAGCACACGACTCAAGTGTATATACATAGCATAAAAAGGTTCTTGAAAAACGTCACAAAATAGTATATTAAAAGGGGCAACGAGCCAAATGACAGTTCAGGTCCTTCTAGGTGGGAAATACAATCCGAATGTAAGAATGGATCCTTTTGGCGCTCAAACGAGAAGTTGAAATTTCCAAAATAAAATTACAGAAATAAGACTTTTACCAAGTGATTTCTGGGGATCTAGCATCCCCGACAGTTTATTACTAGTGGATTAAATTTAATTGTTTCTGTACGAGTTTATATACGCATCCAATGACAATCCTCAGATATTGCGGCTATATCATTGAAATTTGTCAGACAATGAATAAAGTGTTCAGTTTTATTTTGATAAAGATTAAAAATGTGAATTAATACGTTCAGTAATCAAAACATACTTTGATGTTTTATTTCTGAAATTCATTACTTCAGATGCCATTACATGTCTCCAGTTTACTTGAACATTACGAATTAATTTATAATTATGGGATACACTTGTTATTCACTAACAGACCTTCAGAAGCATTTTCTACACTATCACAACTTGTTCGTATTTATCCGAGAAATCCTCGTCTATGGTTTCGTCTTGCCGAATGTTGTATAAAGTTGTATTGGTAGGTATGTTATATTATTGGTATAATTGTTGGGTATATTTGACACATTTTACCTCTTTGGAATTGATTCCGTTCATGTTCAGATCTGTATACTAGATCGTTTATGCTTATAACCTTTTTTTCTTATTTTGAAGTCGTATTATGTTTGATGTGTAACTTGAAACGTTGCTTAGTTTGACACAGGATTTTCTAACTGAACAGAATAAAACTCGATGTATTTTTATTGTAGCTTATAATTGTTTCTAACAAATTGGACTTTGCTATTTCGCACGGTTCAGCTTGTTATATTTAGTGGATCACATTAGTGAGTTAAATTGTTATATAATTTCCTGTGCAAATGTATGAGTTTAGTGTTGAGATTATCAAAAGTACCTACTCCGGTTTCTAATTATCGATAAATGACCTCTATTTCAATGCATCCTCATGTAGCCTAGAGTCTTTCCGCCAAAAAATAAGATTATGTTCAAGACTTAGCAGATGCGTGAGTGCCGTTATTAATATTCTTTTAAAGTAAAGCTTACAGTCCGAATTGAAAAAAATGTCTACCAGCTTAAGCAATGAACAATGAACATGAAGTTTGTGTATTATTTTACAGAGTTAATTCTTTTCTAAGTGCTTGCTCATACTAGGATGTAAATAAAAACACCTTACCAATACACATCACTGGTTATTTACATTCACGTTTAACCGTGCCAGTTAAAGTAAAAACAAGTTAAAGAAAGTCTGAAATATATGAAGCTTAAGATATGTTGAAACCATTAATTTGTTATTTAAATCGTTCAAAATTTTGTCAATCATGACGTCCCTACTGACAGCGCTAATTATTAATACTGACCTATAGTATAGTTGCATTTAATTAAATGTAATTAAATAATTAATTCTTCATTGTTTCAGTTGCTTTATTTCCACTTTTTTATTGTGGTTTCTATTTTCTGTGACATGCTTTTAGTCTGAAAAACTACAGCTTTATTAACTGTGTCTAACTAACTTTCTCAGTTACAGATAACTGGATAAACTGCAAAGTTTCATTCATGTATACTCCTCATTCTGTAGTATTTTACTGTGATTTCTTTGTTTAAATGATTTATTTCGCAAAGTTTTCGTATTTCCTTCGAAAATTTAGTCCACATAATTTATCACTTTGGAATATGGAATCAAGAAAACGATGTATTGTTGAAACCTTTGGTTCTGGTTCGTTTCGTAAATTATCACTTGCTTCTGTAAATCCACAGGTCAGTTCAGCAATACTTATCTTTCTTTTATGTACATTAATCTCAAAGTAAATACTTGATAACTTCGGAAATTTTATGAAAAAATACCCAGATATTCCTCGTTAAAATTAAATGAATTTCCGCCTATAATGGTAACTGTGACGTATTTTATTAGTTTACTGAAACTAAAAAATCTCAATTATTTTCATCAGGCATTACTGTGTCTACATAATAATGTTTTACTTGGCAGATTTTAATCATAGTAATTTTCAATTTTTGTTTAAAATGTTTAATTAATACATTCCACTGGTTATTCTCAAAGTAAAACAAACTAGCTAGTTCAGTTAGTCAATAGATCATAAACATCGTAGTATATCTCGTGTGAATTTCCATCAATTCAGTGGGCTGAATTTCATATTAACACAGAAGCAAACCAACTAAACAGAAACTAAGAAAGTCGAAATAATTTTATCAATAATAGTAAACAATTAAACATAAGAAATTTAATTCGAAAAGAATGAATGGAATCGAAGAGATAAAAATTATACGATAATATTATAACTTAAAGTTGGAAAGAAAATATATGATAAATTTAATTGCATCACTGCCACTAGTTATGCCTTTTATAACTTGAAATCTCTAAACAAGAAATTTAAATCTGCTACACGTCCCAGATCTACAATAAGTGACTTCGTTGACTGATGTGACGCTGTTCCTAGCCTTCCAGCTATCAATGTATGTGTTGCGGTTGTCAGTGGCTGAATAGTCGTAACACATCTTTGGCAAAAACTTATCAATCACCTTTGTTTCTTTTGTAAGCAATCATTGATCTGATGGTAAATTTGTTTGAAAATGATTACATAATTTGTTAGAAGTTTATCATTCTTCAACTTTTTGTGTTAATTCGCTTTTAGCTTCTTTATGTATCACACGTTTGTTTGTTTAAGAAAAGTGGATTTGTGTTGTTCGTTAAGTTGCGCTAACTTTGCTCACTTTGACACAGTGGTTTACCCACACTCGGTTGTTTTATGTATTAATTTACAGTTTAAAACACTAATCGACGTATTTTGGTGTAGGAGACTTGATCATGTCCTTAGTTCTTACATAATATAATTATGATCAAAAGTTATTCACTGTGAGAACTTGTATATGATTAATGAGTTGGATTGCTTAGTCTCATTTATATTGGCTTTTATTGCTCAGAGACTTTTTGTCCAGAAAAAGTGTAATGTTATAATTTATTATTTAGTATGAAGTATTCATGTATGTGTGCTTACTTTATATTATTTTTGTTCCCACTTTTTAGGTCACCAAGTCAAAAGTGGATGATACATTATTATCGTCTCCGAGTATGGAATTCGCATTTCTGGCATTACGTAATGCAAGCCTATTAATTCCAACACCTGATAAGCTTATTACAAATAGGTCTTCAAATAATGATAGAATCAATTCATCATATGTTTCATCTCTTGTTAAATGGTCGAATAAACAGGTTAGTAAGCAATTATCATTTATCACCAACTTCAATCCCATAAATTAATACAACATAATTAATTAATTAGTCTATTGACAATGTATGGTCTAACAATTTGTATGTCATACCAATAGTACTGTAGTGGCTGATACTATGTCAAATCCATGTAGGTTATTCTAGCTTCTGGACAGACCAGTTTATTTATTCTTCCCAAGTCTCATTTTCACCTTGTTCATCGTTCGCTTATTAACCCTGACTGTTTTTATATGATCATATGTATGTTAATTGCTCACCCTAGCATTACGTGTCTGTAATTTATTTTCTTTTGAATATAAATATTGAGTAACGCTTGATCAACACGAACTCCGCCTGTAGCTCTTTTCGGGTTACTGCCAGTCCCAAGCCCGTGTAAAGTAGGAGGGTTGGGCATGGGTCGGCAACCCCATCCTGTAGAAAATAACCTCGCTAAATACCGCTAACCAGATTAAACAAATTTAAAATCTGCCCTGATAGTTGAAGGAAGGATTATGACGCCTCTTGTTGAAAGCTGAGATTCTTCGGAAGTCATGAGGCTGATGTCCCTTCTAACAACCAGAGCAACAATAAATTTAGGTACTTGGGATGTCCGGATAATTCTGGAGACTGGGAGGACCAATCAGATAGCTGCAGAAATAAAGAGATACAAATTGACGGTGATTGAAATCAGTGGAACCCATTGAACCCAAGCTGGACAGAAAAGGTTAGGTACGGGAGAGATGCTGCTGTACTCTAGTAACGAAGAAGAAAGTGCTCCACACACTCAAGGAGTTACTCTAATACTGTTCAAAGAAGCTCGGAATGCACTTATTGGGTGGGAATCTCATGGATACAGGATCACCAAGGCATCTTTCAAAACAAAGATGAGAGTATCACAACGAATGTTATCCAGTGTTATGCACCCACCAGTGATAGCAACGTTGACGATGAAGATTCGTTTTGCGAGTGGCTGCAATCGATCATGGCGAAGTGCTCATAAAAGGACTTGACCATCCAGGTGGGAGACCTAACCGCCAAAGTCGGAATGAACAACATTGGATATGAAGATATCATGGGACGATATGAACTAGGTGAAAGAAACGAAGGCAATACAATCACTGAGATTCAAGAACAGAGGAAGAGGTGTGTAGAACACTTTGAGGGACTCTTGAATGGACATGCCTCCACTGAGCCCAGCTCCATTTAATCAACCGAACACCGAAGCAGCACACACAGACCTTCCTATAGATGTCAGTTGACCAACGACGTAAGAAATCACGATGGCCATCACACAAATTAACAGTGGAAAAGCACCAGGATCTGACGATATGCCCGCCGAAGCACTCAAGTCAGACATAGAAATAACTGCACACATACTCCACATTCTTCTTAGGAAGATTTGAGAGGAAGAACAAGTGCCGACAGAAATACTGGAAAGAGGGACACCCATAAAGATATCAGAGAAAGGAGATCTGAACAAATTTGAGAGGACTACAGAGGCATCACACTATTGTCAGTATCACGAAAGGTTTTCAACCTAGGTTTGCTCAATCGGATAAGAGATTCAGTAGACGCCGAACTTTGAGATCAGCAGACTGGATCCCGTAAGGATCGGTCGTGCACAGACCTAATTGCGACACTACGGATCATCGTTGAACAATCAGTTGAGTGGAACTCGTCACTATATATCAAATTCCTTGACCATGAGGATGTGTTTGACAGCTTGAATAGAAGAATCTTATGGAACCTTCTTCGATACTATGGTATACCTGAAAAGATCGTCAATATCATACGGAATTCGTACGACCGGAGTCAGACAAGGCTACTTATTCTCCCCCTTTCTCTTTCTTCTGGTAGTTGACTCGATTATGAAAACCTCCACATTAGAGGGGAAGCATGGAATACAATGGACAGCTGGTAATCAACTAAACGATTTAGACCTCACAAATGACCTGACCATTCTGTCTTATTCACATTAGCAAATGCAGGTCAAGACAGTCAGTTTTGCAGCAGCAGTCTCAAATACAACACGGAGAACACCCACTTAATCACGCTTTGTTGAGAAGCTCCAGAAGATGTGGAAACTTTCACATAGCTAGTCAGCAACATCATCGATGAACAAAGAGTATTGGATGCAAAAGTAAAGGCAAGGATTGACAAAGCATGGCCACATTCCTACAGTTGAAGAATATATGGAACTCAAAACAACTGTCAACGAATATCAAAGTCAGGATGTTCAATACGAACGTCAAGAAAGTTCTATTGTGCAGAGCTGAAACTTGGAGAACTACCACAACCATCATCAAAATAGTAGAAGTATTTGTAAACAATTGTCTATGTAAGATACCCCATGTCCGTTGGTTGAATAGCATCAGCAACAACCTACTGTGGAAGAGAACAAACCACTTTCCAACTGAATAGGAAGTTGGGAAGACGATTGTACAAAATATTCTCATTCATGCTTCATTTTCGTATCTCACTTATTTCATTCCGTTTTTTTGTCTAACGCAAGTTAACTCGATAAGAATACACGGGGGTTGGCGACATGTATTTTTCGACGACAATCGTCATACGATTTAACTGGAGTCCGATCTTGGGCCACTAAAGTGCAACAATAAACGAAATTCACAAGACCTAAAGAACCATTTGTACAATGGTGTCGATCGCGTTCGAAATTGAAAAAAACTAGTGTGAGTGTACGAATGAAATTGGTGAACGGAGAATGACGGAGTGATGATACTACACTTGTAATTTAGTTCAAGATAAAGAATAGATGTGATTATGTCAATTTGAACTAGTGATGCATTGTTTGTCGTATTTGACTTGGTTTTTGGTATGTGTTCAGTAAAACAAGCGGATGTTTGTATTTCAGTCCTTCTACAAGAGTTCTTTAACTATGATCATATCATCCGCTTATTGTACAATTAGAATTTAACTCTCCTAATATATAACTTTAGCACTTTTTTATGATAAGTCTACAAAGTGTACATGGTACATGTTTTGGTTACTGATATGATAACTTGGACCTGTCTTTATTTGTGCTGTATCCTACGTTGTTGATCAATGAGTAAATGACCAACTTCTTTAGTTGTGCTCCTATCGTTAACTTTCATACGATTGATACATCATAAAGCACACTTTTTTAAATAGTTGCTAAATTATGTTTATACTAAATTTCACAGTACTTTATTAAGTTTTAATACACCTAACTTATTGAATTTTGTTTTCCTAGTTTATCTCCACTTATCCATCACCAACACCATTGTTCGGTATCGGATTATTACACTTCTTGTCAGCTTTACATGTGAACATATCGTATGTGGCTTTGTGTTTAAACGAATTTGTAGACGTAATACATTCTGCCAGTTTGATAATGGATTCAATGCCACAAAATGAAACTAGTTCTACCCGGTAGGACCGGTTAAACGTAAAAAATATCTGCCTGGTCTTGCTATGATTGCTCCAAAAATTCACAGTTATTTATGCCGTTTGTATTGTGCTGAAGCCTTGACTTATTTGGATAAGTATGTTTCTATTCAAATTATTTTGTGTATTATTGTTTGTTGACAAGTGATATTGTATATTCCGTTCATTCTTCGACTTATATCTTTAGATACCTATAGTTAAAATGACATTAAGTTTACGACGATATCATGCTTTTTGCGTACGGTTTTTGTTGGCAAACTGCCAACCTATCAATTCAGGGACCAGTGATTAAGAAATGTTGAGCTTAGATTTAGAATAATAAACAGATGTAGGGAATGCGTGAGACTGTAAATATTCATAGATTGAGGTATCAAAAACCTGCATTACCCATGTCCAACCACCCCCTTCGACGTGTAATTTTAGCTGGTGTATAGATAGGTTGTTAGAAAGCTAGGGGAAGTCGAACCGGTACATAGCATCAGTCTGTGAAATCATGTATTGTTCGTTTAATCCGTGTAAGTAGGTCAGACTATTTTGTTAAGGTTCGCACAATTATCGTCACCAATTACTAAAGATGGGTGACGTGGTTTGGAATCCTTTGTGACTCTTTAGATCCATTCACTCTTTGTCTTCCCTTAAATCATGAGTTTCAAAATTATTTTATTCCATGAATTCATACTTCATGAATCTTCTATATGCCTAATGTTTTCTATTACTACTACTTGTATTATGCTGACATCCATCTTAGTAATTTTATCGCTATACTGATGTAGTCTAACAGTTTAGGCCGATGTATATATGTGCCAGGTCCTACTTTGCCTATTACTGACTGGGCTACTAGTACGACTTCATATATTATAAATAAAAGTTTGATTTTACACATTGATAGAAGTAATATAGCACGTCAGCATTGGTGAAATAGGTAAGTAATTAAGGCGAATACCGATGAATTTGAATAATTAATGAAAACGATTTCCTCATCTCCTTTTTAGCTTTAGCTAATGCAGAAGTGAAAGATATCTTAGTCAGATAGAAAAACCATTAGATCGATCAAAGAGTACTGATTTTGTGTGCATATAATATACGTGAAAGCGTTTATGATATTGTTTTAAAAATAGGACAAGAGCTTATTAAAACACTAAACAGATGCAAACAAAGCTTTTTTTCATGACAGTGAAAATAAATTGAACACAGTAATATTTGTCAAAAGAAAATGCCAATTCAAAAATCTTCATAACTTCATACCGATGTATTCCTTTACTTCATTTTCTCTACTTTTAACTATATATTTTATTCGTTTACAACTGTTTCTACTCTTTCTCATCCATTTTACTATTATCTACTTCACAAAGTATGTAGTAAACTTTAATCTTTAATAAGTTAAACTTCTTATTTCCTTAAACTATAAAAAAACTGCATAATCTAATCTCCCCCAAACAATATAATTAGTTGTAAACCATTCTTATCTATCAGAATTATGTATATCTTACTTAATTTATCTGAGAGATTTGTCAAGTTCGAAAATGTTCCATTATGCCTAGTTGCTTTGGTTTGCTGTTGGCACAATGCAAATGATTGTAATTATAACAGCCTGAAATGTATGTTAGATAAATAAAACCAAATCGTAAAATTATTCACTGCACTTTTTGAGAATGAATACAACATAATGTTCTACTATTTAGTTTGTAGAGTAAATTAAAGTATTTCAGTCAACACTATCAGTCTTATAGGATCTATTTTATCGTGAGATGATCAAACGTTTATCCGCATAATATGGTTCTACGGAAATTTCCCAGCTATTTGATGAATACGTCAATAATATTTTCATGAGCAACTTTGAACGATACATTTGTGTATGAGTGATAATATTATTCTGATGTGTATTGACAGACAAAAATCCTTGGTCTGTATCTTCCACACAAGTGTATTTAGAGTACCTCTATAATATGCAGAAAATATTTTTTATAAAGATGTTTTATTAATGTTGTTGTGTAATTGAAATCCCGTTTATTTCAATTTTTGTAGAGTAGATGAAGCCACTGCTTTACTACAAATATCCACAAATAATCAATTAGATTCCATTATACGTTCTTTAAACGGTGTTTGTTTTGCAATGCCATTTCTTTTTCCTAACACTGATTATATCCATGACTTTTCTACAAATAATGATTCAGTGAATAACAACTCGGATATTTGCGATGAGACTAACCTGTCGTTTCTTGTGAATAGATGTTCAAAACAATCAATTATTCGACCTGTGGACTTTCCTTCTAATATTGTTCAGGTTAGTTTGTTAGTTGTTTTTTTTTTTTTAACTTCTAACTATTCATTATTATTTATAGTTATAAGTTCAGTAGGGTGTTGTTGTTACTCAACAATTTGACTCAGTTTATATATCGGCGAAACCTTACTCGCGTACTACATAATAATTCACATATAATTGATACTTTTGATATAATCTTAAATAGTTGTAGTTTATAATCTTAAGATACTTTTAAACTGTGTTGATAGATTTATAAGACTTCTGTCCGTCAGTTTATACACTCACCTTAAAGCTAAGTCTGTCATAGGGTCAGAATTCATCTTCTAATGTTCATTCAACGGTTGGTATGACTCATTGTTTAATTTACGAACCTATAGGTTGCTGAATTACATCATAATATCTTTTATTTTACACTAATGTAACAGACAACAGCTTCTTTTTTACTAACTACATTTAAATAAATATTTAATTCACTCAATCGTAGACCATTAATTTAAGATGTGTACCTGCTTTTCAATCCCAATAAAGATCTTTTGATTATGTGAATTTTTATATGGCATTTAAACCCTGTAAATTGACTTAGTAGTAGTACGTTATATTCAATGTTAAATATTGAAATTTAATGTATAAAATACCTTGGAACTAGATTACTTAATTATGTATACTTTTTGTCAAAGTGTATTTTAGTATGTGTAGTGTTCCAGCCAGAACGGCTGACGACGCCCACTGGGGAGACCTAGTGGTCCTTCTGGGACGGATTCCGTTTTTTCGAGTCTCACAAACCGTGTAAATGTGATTAAGTAGGGACAGTGGCCTCACAGGTCTTTGCATACATAATGCTATTGCACCAAAAGAACCATTAAAAAAGTTTGCGAATTTACTTGCCCTAGATATGTATGGTATACTTGCGTACTAGTTAAAACATGAACTTTCATCCGCGTATCACTTGGCATACATTCAGGTATACATGTCCTATGAGCAAATATACATTATATGCACACCAGTAACACACGGGTTTTAATTCATGCATCCCATAGCATACAAATAAGTATATTCACCCACCTGGGAGGGTAGATGTTCACCACTCCCAAAGAAAACGTATTTGTTACACCAGACTGACTCGTACACATTATATGCATATCATTCACATTATTGCTACCGCCCCAGTATTTCCTGACACATATAAGTATAAGCACTCTCAGGGGAGGTTGTTGGTCGCCTCACCCTAGTAGTTGCTACCACCTCTTTATATTGTGTCTTCGACCTGATAAATAAGCCGCTGATTTTATTAGACATAGGAAAAACATTTTTGCAGCTCAACGTTTCTTTTGTACGACACCGCATGCGTACCCTTTTCATATACCTATATGCTTGAACTACATAGATCCGAGAACTTCTGCAACCTTCACACATAAGCATACACATCGAGTAGCCCGAGCGGTAAAGTGAGTCCGATTATAGAATCCAGGATTGGCTAGATACAACAGAGTGGGTGATCGGTCCGATCTCTGTGACCGCCTAAGTTAGCTAGCAGGGTTGCCCCCACTATCCAGCTGCACCACGAGGAAGCCTAAGGTCGGATTTCGCTGCCGTATTTTAGTATACATACAATATATTCTCTGTTTTAATATATTTGTTTTATTTTATACATAAATTTTCTAAAGAAAAATTCTATTTTTATTTTTCAATTTAGTCTTCATCATTATTGGCTTACAATTTAGCAGTCATATTAGCTATTCAAAAACAATATTCTTTGTCAAAGCAATACTTGGATCTATCATTACCAGGTTTATTTGTATCAGCGAATGAAGTAGATGGTCGAAAATGGCATATTAATGAATTATCAGAAGAGGCAACTATAACCAATAATTGTAAATTATTACCGACTACAGTTATTTTACTACGTATCTATTTAGCTATACGTTTAAATGATCAAAAACATGCCGCTGAATTAATACGTGAGAATTTCGGTCACTTTGCAATGGCTAATAGATTAAATTCAATTCCTATTTGTGATCATGATGAATTAACTTCTGTTCCATCAATACCACAAGATAATGTTGTTCCGTCACTAAATCCTAAAAGTGTTCCTTTAACTTTAGTTGATTTACAACAATTGATTAAAGGTCAACAATACCAATCAAATTCTACTGCTGGGATTTCACAAATGCATCCAGCATCATCCATTCAACTATCACAACAGTTCAATAATAATAATAATAATAATAATAATAATAATAGCAGCAGCAATAATAATAACTCCACTAATAATAGTAATAATAATAATCAATCAATTAATTTATGGACACCTTGTCAACAATTTCGTCAATCTCAAGCTCAGCAAAATCAAACAATTTATTATTCACCATTGTTACAAACACAATCTACACTTACTAATTATGAATATGCTAACTGTTGGGATTCATCGACACCACCGACAACTGGTATAATTACAGCTAATAATGAAAATGATTGGCCACCTTTATAAATTGTATCTGATGTTCAGTATTATTTCTTTTCTTGTTTGTTTTTAATTTTAATAAATACTGAAGCGTTTTATAATCCTTATTAATGGATTAATTTGGTCGGTTTTTATCAATCTAGAAAACTTGTTAAATGTACAAACTCAGGAGTAACTTTATGTTTAAACAAAATATCGGTTAACTGTAATAAACAGTAATTATAAAGAACCTCCTTATTGTGACTACTAGTTTGATGTGATGTTCTGGATCGCCCATCATGATGACCCAGTTGAGCTATATTGGTTGGAACACTTGTCTCAGCATGTAAGCCAGGTCTGTGGGAAAGGGGTAGCACTAAAAACAGCACTTAACGGCCGAGGGTGATGTCGTACTGCTGGCTTTACAGAGATCTGGTGACAGTAAGGTGTTTTCCTCAGACAACTAGCATTCAGAGCGATACTACCTTTCCACAACGGAAAAGGGATCATAAAGAAATATTGATTCTGTCCTCGGTAAAATCTTCAAAGTACAGAGCTAGCACATCAAGAACTATTCACAGAAGAGCCGTGTTTGACCGACCTTAGGACGTTGTCCCTGCAATAGCACATCCGGGTAACCAGGACAACTACTAACTCAGTCTCACATTCAGATGGCTCAAGAAGTAACTAAGGGGTAACAACCCTTAATAGTTAAACGATTTTAGTCTCAGCTAGTACGGATCAGACCTAAGTACCCTTCAACTCATTTTGGTTTGTCCAGTGGGATTTTATCAGTAGTCCTCATGCACAGAGACAGTTTGGCTCAAACCCGAATACATAGTCGTGTACTGCCCCCGAATGCCCTGGTACGGCCGAGAGTGGGGAGAGTCCGCTCTCCCTCTCGAAATACTCTCACTTGGCCACGCGTATACAGCCTCTGCCAGGGAAGTCCTACTCATTGCCTTCTCGTGGCGAAGGTGTTGTTTACGAAAATGAGAGGACGAAAAGCGAATGTCTGGCGCTTTAACCGGATCCCAAACCAATGGTGCACATGGGCTCCAGTATCCTGAGGGAACAAATGGCATATGAACTAGTCGTTGGTCACCGGCTACCATGGAACTGCATCTCCCTACGATGCTCCACTGCCTTGTGGGTTAGACCTTTAGGTCAAAGACTCGGGTGTGGCCCCCTAAGATAACCAACCACCTGCCTCGGTCTGAGCACCCGGGCAGTATCACAGCCCACACACAAATGATGAACTGTCTATAATTATGGAAACTACTTTTCTTGCTTCAACTAACAATCAAATGATTCAAATTATTATTTACTACGTCATTATTCACCCTCTTTTATTCCCACTCTGTCTACACTTATTTTTTCGACTTATACAGCAGCTCGTCTATGGTGGAAATTTGACTGTATCTAAACGTTCTCGAGTCACTGTCCGGTTGAAAATTGTATGTTACCACCGAATATGAGTACTGAAGCAGTTTTTCTGAAACCACGTGCACCATTCAAACTGGCTGCCTTCAACGTTCGCACACTTATGCAGGTCGGACAACAGATAGGGCTGGCTATGTCTTTGGAAAGTCTTAATATCGATGTTGTTGTCTATCCGAGACCCGTATTCAAGACTCTGGCGAAGTACTACAAATTCGATCTCCATCTGTCGCTTCGAAAAGCTTGTTTTACGTGCGCTTATCCGGGGACCCTGTGGCATCTTCGTCTGGTCTTGCTGGCGTTGGTGTCGCACTAAGCGCTAGAGCTGAGGCAGCACTAGTCGATTGGATCCCCATTAACAGTCGGTTATGTGCTGTTAGATTAGAAAGTTCCATCAAAGTGAGAAGAAATCGGCGTGAGAAACGATGTCTTTTCGTCATCTCCGCCTATGCCCCGACAGATTGCAGCCCGGATGCAATCAAGGATGAGTTTTACCACCAGTTATCTGTTCTTCTCCAGAAAGTGCGTTCGACAGATATTGTAGTACTAGCCGGAGACTTGAATGCTCAGGTCGGGCGTCTAGGCACAGAAGAGAGTCGTTTAGGTGGCCGATGGGGACTCGTTGGTCGCAGGTCAGATAACGGGGACCGTCTACTGCAACTTTGCACAGACCACAACCTGTTTCTGGCTAGCACTAACTTTCGGCACAGTCATCGCCGATGTGCCACCTGGCGTCCTCCCTCTGCATCTCAAGCCTGGACTCAGATTGATCACATCGCGATCAGCTACCGCTGGCGTGGTTGTGTACAAGACTGCCGCTCCTTTTGGAGTACCTATCTGGACTCTGACCATGCCTTGGTCTGCGCCAATCTTGCCTTACTTTTCAGTGGACAACGAAGTGACGCCATCAACGGATTGATGTTAGCAAGCTGGTTGCAACTTCTGTTGCAAGTAAGTATCGAACCGAGCTAGCCTCTAGGCTAGCTACCACTCCACCGAAAAGTATAGATGAGCATTGGTTGCAATTGCATGACGCCATGAAAATGGCGGGAACAGTCAGTTGTGGGTTTGCGAAACGTCCCGCTTTAAGCACTGGGTTTCTTCTGGTTCCTTACAACTCATTGAAGCCCGTCGGTCTACTCCGGGTGACCGTGAGTTTGACCATAAACGAAGGATGTTACGTAAGGAAATTGGGCAAAGCTTGCGTAAGGACCGAGAAGCCTGGTGGTCGATGCGTGCTAATGAGCTGGAAGCAGCAGCTGCATCTGGTAACTACCGGAAGCTCATCCGAGCCACTGGCAGCAAGAAGTCTGGTGTGAGTGAAACAATCTGCGAGGATGATGGGATGCCAATCACTAACATCCATCGACGTCTTGGACGATGGGCAGAATTTTTCGAAGGGCAGTTCAACTGGCCTGCTGCTCCGGCAACATCGGTCAGACTGTCCTGCCCTCCATGGCCGGTGACGACTGATCCACCAAACGAGGAGGAAGTCCGCAAGGAACTCCAACTCTTGAAGCGTTACAAATCACCTGGCCCAGATGACTTACCTCCGGCTCTTTTTAAAGATGGTGGTGACTTTTTGACTAAGGAATTGACGACGTTGTTTACAAAGGTTTGGGAACTAGAGAGTGTACCAACGTCATGGAATGAGTCGATAGTTGTCCCTATCTTTAAAAAGGGTTCACGTCGTTCCTGTAACAACTATCGGGGGATAAGTTACTTCCGATTGCGTCCAAGCTATTGGCTTCCGTCATACTTCGTAGGTTGTTCAAAACCCGAGAAAGATTGACTCGCGAGGAGCAGGCTGGGTTTCGTTCTGGTCGAGGATGTATTGATCATATCTTCACCCTCCGCCAAATGTTAGAACACCGCCATACTTATCAAAGGCCAACAATCGTAGTGTTTCTTGACATCAGGGCTGCCTTCGATTCGTTGGACAGGACTGTTCTCTGGGATTGTCTATTGAAGAAGGGTGTGCCTGAGAAGTTTATTAACATCCTAAAAGCCCTATATAAAACACCTCAGGCAGAGTGAGGGCATACAACCACCTCTCTCCATTGTTCCATTCGAGCAGTGGGGTTAGGCAGGGTTGCCCAATCTCACCATTCCTCTTCAACTTTGCCATCGATGACATTCTGGAAACAGCTCTGATGAATGTAAGTAATGGTGGTGTGGATCTGTTGCCTGGAGAAAGACTTCTCGACCTTGAGTATGCGGACGATATTGTCTTACTGTGCGATAATGCCCAAGGCATGCAATCCGCACTTAATCAGTTGGCAATCAGTGTCCGTAGGTATGGTATGTGCTTTGCACCTTCGAAGTGCAAAGTACTTCTACAAGACTGGCAGGATTCTAATCCTGTACTCACCCTGGATGGTGAGCAGATAGACGTAGTCGAGAAGTTCGTGTATCTGGGTAGCTGCATAAGTGCTGGTGGGGGTGTGAGTGATGAGATCAATGCACGTATAGTGAAAGCCAGAGCGGCTTATGCCAATCTGGGCCACCTTTGGCGCCTTCGTGATGTTAGTCTGGCTGTAAAAGGTCGGATCTACAACGCGTCGGTGAGAGCAGTTTTGCTCTATGCTTGTGAAACCTGGCCTCTCCGAGTTGAGGACGTTAGACGACTCTCTGTGTTCGATCATCGCTGTCTCCGAAGGATTGCTGACATTCAGTGGCAACACCATGTCAGTAATGCAGAGGTTCGGCATCGTGTGTTCGGGCACAGAGATGATAATCAATTGGTGTCACCATCTTGAAACACCGACTTCGGTGGCTTGGACATGTTCTCCGAATGTCGTCCCAGAGAATTCCACGTCGTGCATTATTTGCCGACTCTGGGACTGGTTGGAAGAAGCGGAGAGGTGGTCAGTGCATGACATGGTGTCGTGGTATGAAAGAAAGCTGCAAAGGACTGGCTTCTGTCGGTCCTTCACGACTCCCTGGTTGGGGTCCGAGAGATGGTGCTACACAGTGGCTAGAGACGTTATCAGATATGGCTCAGAATAGAAGCCAGTGGCGATCCTGCTGTAACCTTCTTTTACTTTCTTCATAAAAAGTGGTTGTGTCTCCCTTACCTGAAAGATTTCTTCTGATTGTACCTTTGCGTTCCCTGATTACTAGCACATTACCTTACACCAATCTCTTCGTTATTGTTCTCTTTTTTTCTTTCTCTTCGAATTCTCATTGTTTTGTGTGGCGCATATATATTGGCGCTCTCTTGTACCAATATTTATGTGTTCAAATAAAAAATAAAAAATAAGTCGTGTACTTGGTAAATGAGTTGAGTGTAGTGTTTTGTTTTTATCATTGCTAGTTGTAATTAAAAACTGACTATTGTTCGTTAAAGAAACGTTTATTGAGCTCCGGTTTTCTACCACTAAGTTCCAGTTTTGAACCAACGATATTCTGTTTTGATCTATGTATCCGAAAAACATACAGTCTTCGTATAACAAGTCCAGTCTGATAATTAATGCATAAGACCATACATGTTACCGAGTTATGTCACTAATATCCCCACCGTTGTTGCTACCTTGACGTGGTGGTCGGGCTTGCCTATCGTGATGAAGCAACGAGCTATACTGGCTGGAACAACCGTTCCTCAAGGTCCTACCATGTCAGACGGGTCGGTTGAAGAGCGGTAAGACTAAAAGCAACAAACCTAAGGTCCGAAGGCGAAGTCGTACTGCTGACTGTACAGAGGTTTGACAGCAGCAAAGTGTTTCCTTCAGACAACCAGCGTGAAAGTGATGCCGCCTTCCCATAAGGAGGGGTGGGGTTAGAAAAGGTCGACCCTAAAAATGCACACCTCGCCTTATCCCACGGATATCCGTCTCTGGTGGTAAGGTCCCAAAAAGTACGGCACTAACACAAAAATTACCGGTAAAACGGTCGTGTGTGACCGACCTCAAGCAGATGTCCCTTGGGCACTGCGGTCACGCTCCCAGGTCACTAAGACCACCTCTAATCCGATTTCCTTTTCAGGCACCACCAGAAGAACCCTTCCATGGTGTGGGCAACCGGGAAGTGATAACCGCCCTCATACCTCTAACAGCACTCAAGACCACTGTATTCATAATCAACCTCCCCTGTCACTAATATATTATAGCTCATATAGACTACAATATATTGTCCATGTTAAGAAGTTAGATTGGAAATATTACACGATTGCTGGTTAGAATATTCACCTTAGGTGTCCAACTTTAGATTATATCCGCCACTTTTTCATGGGATCCTCATAATTATATAAAACGTTATAGTTATTGAAGAAACCTTTATACAGTCCCATTTGGTATACAAGATTTTAGAAAAACCAGTTCCATAATTCCTGGAAATTGTTACGAACCATATCTCTGTTTAATGCTTTTCATAGTCATAGACACTAATATTTCGACTCCGTTATGTTGTTTATTTCATCCTGAGGTGATCATTAAGTGTCTTGATTTGGGCTAGTGGATATTTATACTAGACTCTGCGTTTTGTGTAATTTATTTATCATCATC